CAAGGTGAATGGGTTGCCTGAGCCCGCGGGTTCGAGCCCCGCCTGGACAGTGAGACCTCATCTCTACAATAAATCAAAAAATCAGCCGGGCGTGGTAGCGCATGCCTGTAATTCCGGGTACCCGGAAGGCTGAGGCGGAAGGATCGCCGGAGCCCAGCAGGTCGCGGCCACTGCACTCCAGTCTGGGCGACCGAGTGAGACTCCAACTCAAAAAAAAAGAGAAGTGGTTGGATTCTGCATATATTTTAAGGTAGAAGCAACAAGATTTCCTGACAGACTAAAAGTGGAATGTAAGAAAGAAAAGAGTCAAGCATGACTTCATGATTTGTGGTTCACCTATTTTTACTTCAAGATATGTTATCAGGAACTATATTCGAATTTATTTCTTCACTACTAGCTCAGATACAAAGTTCTTAATTAAGGCATTCTCACATGTTTAAAACTATTGTCCATGGTAGTAATGATAATAATACCTACTATCTCACGCGGCAGATATTATTATCTTCAATTTATACATGTGTAAATGAAGGTGTGATTAATGATTGACAACTTCCCTAATTTTTGTACCTACTTCCAATTTAGGGTCAACTAGAGAAATTCAATCACCCAAGATGCCCCAATCAGGGCATATCTGAAACCTTCCCTTTTCTTCCACTCTAAGTAATTCCTCAGCCTGCCTTTGAGTCTCTGCCAAAACAAGTGACTGACTCCCTTACTCTAGCAAGCTCTGAATAAATAGCCTCTGCTTGTTCTCATTTGATCTTTCTTTCCACAAGTGTCTTATGTCAGGGACCCCAGGAAAAGGATTATGAGATAAAGGCTTGCGTGCAGGTTTATTGGGGGCTACTCACAGGATGGACACCTGTGGAGAGGATGATAGAAACAAGATCGGGCGAGAGAAGTTCAAATGTGACACACTTGTATTGGAGGCCTCAGCTGACCCCACAGGGAGCTCTGAGGCTGGGATGACCCTGCAAAAATTTGCCCTCCATTAGTCATTGGATGCAGCCTTCCCTTGGGGAAGGAGAGAAACCATAGGTGAGGCAGTTCTCTTTGACTGAGAGCATGTCCAAGGGAGGGTCTCAGCTATGAACTCTCAGTAGTCAATGCTCTAGGCAACTGAAATAAGTGCTTGGATCCCTTTCGGGGGGGGGGGCGGAGATTAAGTGACCCCAACACAGTTGATGGCAGATCTTGACATGAACGCAACTTTGAATCCAAGTTCAAAACTCTTTTCATTATAGCATAGCTGTGTTCACGCAAAAAACATGACAAATGGAGATTTTGTGAACACTCATGTTTTTCCCTCTTAGTCCAAAACCAAGACCATATTTGCACAGTGAATCAGACATTTTTAGCAAATGATTTAGAGTATAGCAGTTGGCTCAACTAAATATGGCATTAAAATATCTGAAATAAAATCTGACCCGACCAACCAAAAGTAGTTAACTGAATTACCACATGTAGACATTCAGACCATCTTGGTGTTACAGTACTGTACTAAATGTTTCCCTCTCTCAATAGAGCAGAGCATTGTGACATGAAGTTTTCCAGGTAGAAATAAGATGCTGATGGATTGAAAGTAAATTGATGTGAAAGTAATACAATTCCCACTTCTAGGATATTCATTCTCCAGGGAAGATTATTCCATACTAGTCAAAATCCAAATAAAATTTGTCTTGGAAGTTAGCAAAATATTAATTTATTCTTTAGAACAATCTAGTTCTCCGCCTTACTCTGTCATTGGTGCTACATGAGTATCACAAGACTTTAGATTTATCTGAGCTATTTAAAATCAATACTTCTTTCTTGGTTTTATAGGTATATCAGCTGGAACTGCATTATGGTACTGTACCTAGTTATGGGAACATACCTGAAGATCAAGAGTATACACCAAGTCCTAGCTACAGATTTGTCTGCATGTCTTTTTATCTGTATATAAAACAAAAATTGTGACTTAAAAAAAAAATCTGTCAGCATATTCTCTCACTGTCTGAAGACCTTTGACTTTATTAGTCATTGCTTCCAGAGCTTTTGGCTTATTTCCTTTATATGTGTCTGGGAAATTCCCCCATACTCACCTCCTCACCCCATCTCTAAAGAAAGTTAGTCACCTCTTGTTTAACTTTTTGTGGAATCTCAGCTAATTAGTAATCTCGGGTATCTCTGAGTCATAAGAATTATTAGGGGAATATATTAAAATAGAGTATATCAAAGATTTGTCCCAGATCTAAAGAATCAGAACTTCTGGAGGTAATGCTCAGACAAATGTATAAGTAAATCCCTCTTTTTGGAATTTTGTTAAATATCGCAGCCTAAGAAGCACTTGCTCCACACCTTTAAAACAAAACAAAACAAAAAATTAAAAGAGAGAGAGAAAAAAAGAACCACTTATAAACAAGTTACACATTTCCAGCAACCAATATACCTAGTTTTCTGGCTACAGAATATCAGGATAAAAGTGATGTTTGGAGTCCATTCTTTTCTACAGCTGTTTGCATAATTGTGATCTATGGAAGTAAAAGCAACAGGCTGAATTTTGCCAACAGTGATCCATTTGTATGATAACACCTATCACAATGGTAACTTCTCTAAGAAAAATTTCTGTAGAAGAAAATTGGTATGACCCAGTGATTGCTGAAATGTAAAAATAAAAATATAGTAGAAGAGTTGAAAATTACTTCAGGGTGTGAGAAGATGGGGGCATTGGAAAAATGGTTGTGATACAAATTACTGAACAAATAAATATTGACTCTGGCACTGAGTGAGGTGATAGGGAGACCACAAAGATAAGAACACATAGTTTAATACACTTCAACAGTTATTTATCAGGCACATACATACTATGTCCACAGCACTTTTCCAAAGTGTTTCAAGGCATGGTTCCAAAATTTGGATTTATAGCAGACTTAGCTGGGGAGGTTTTAAAAATTAAATTTCCTAGCCGGGCTCGGTGCCTCAGCCTGTAATCCTGCGCCTTTGGGAGGCTGAGGTGAGTGGATTGCCTGAGCCCACGGGTTCAAGACCCGCCTGGGCAGCGAGACCTCATCTCTACAATAAATCAAAAAATCAGCCGGGCGTGGTAGCACATGCCTGTCATTCCGGCTATGGGAAGGCTGAGGCAGAAGGATCGCCGGAGCCCAGCAGATCGAGGCTGCGGTGGCTGGGAGTGGCCACTGCACTCCAGTCTGGGCAACAGAGTTAGACTCCAACTCAAAAAAAAAAAAAAAAAATTAAATTAAATTTCCTGAATCTTGCATTAGATCTACTGAATTCAAATATCTGGGGAAGGGCTTAGAAATCTCTAATGTATAAAGCTCCCCAGATGATTCAAATGCATCCAGTATGGGCCAGCATTTGGGAATCACTATTCCAGAGATCCGAGAAACTGAGTGAGGCGTAGAGTTTGTTTTTAAGGAATGTACAAACTAGTATGGTGAGCTCTATGCCATATCAGCTTTCCTAACTTTGCCTTATGTTGCTGGCTTCTAAATTTTTCTCACGATGTTTCTTTTCTCTGAAATGCCTTTTCCTTATCTCTGCCATGAAAATGTAAGTATTACTCATCTTTTAAGATCCATTCAAATGTGAGGACTGTGTTCCATGTCTCTTGGCCACCATCCTTCCAACCCACATCCACGACGCAACCAAATACTATAAAATCCATCCTCATCATGTCAGCTTCTTTCATGATCTTTGCATTCCATCTCCACCTCTTTAGCCCACCCAAATCACTGAATGGCCTTTTAACCAACCTCTTAAACACCATCTGCCCTCTTACTCCAATGGACTCTATGGTTCTATTATTCTTGTACATTTTAATTATAGCCAGTTTTCATATTAAAAATAAACGTTAGTATTTTCCCATTATCTGCAAAGTTGCATATGAAAGTCTCCAGTCTGGCATTCAGAATGTGCTACTGGATCAGTTAGGCTTCCTTTGCTTGTAAGCAATAGAGCAGCTTTGGTTAATTTAAGAAAAAGGCTTGGACTAGTTCATAGAAACAAGGTTTCAATGATTCCTTCTTTGTATGATTCTTAAAATTCTCATTTTTAGAGAATATCTGATGCAACATATTTCCAACTCTTATTAATAGGAAGACAGGGGATACTGAAAGACCACCTATAGTTATACTTACTGGGGAAATATAGCTTTTTCAATACAAAATTAGGGTGCTGCTACCAAAAGAAGAAATAAATGTGAAGGAAAAAATAAACCAATAAATGCGCACTATATCTAAAATAGGACTCCAATCCAATTGAAGTAAAATTGGATACAGTAGAGAGGAATTCTGTGCTTTCTTTTCTGAGACATTCAAGATCAAAATGGAGAAAATAACTAAAGGAGTTAATACTGGATTGTCTCAATGTACTTCCTGTTGGGGGAGAAGGAAGGATAGTAGTTTGAAGTCAACATTGTAAACAATGTGTGGAATGATTCAAGAAATCACTGTGAGTCATTAGGGTAAAAATAAACTATTTTCTTTTTTTTTTTCTGTGATCAACCAACTTCCACATGATTTCAATGTTCTTTATTTTTATTTATTTATTTATTTATTTATTTATTGTAAAGATGTGGGAGTACAATTTAGGGTTAGGTATACAAATGTTGATTATGCAGGTACCCTTGTTCAGTGATTTTTATAAATGATTGCATAGTATTTTCTGGAAAATAAGTTAACCACTATAATACAGCCAGAATTTTATTGAGACGAAACTCAGCAGGGCAACCATAACCTCTGTATCTTTAAGAGGGTAAAAAGTCTTCCACTTCCAAATTCAAGAAAGGCGTGATGATCTTCCGTAGTTCCCACATTGTGTGGTGCCCAAGAATTCTTGAGAGCACCCTTTCGAAGATGAACGTCGCATCCACAAATAGTATGTAACATGAAAGTCCAGTTAAGGTGAGGACATAAAACATAATGAAAATCCTCAGTGCACGTTTCCTACAGGAAGAGAAAACATTTATGTTAAAAAAATTCTCAAGATAATCACTTGGATAGGACTCCTGTCACCGCCACCCAGGTACCTCAAAAAACTTCAGCTAAGTGATTGAGTTTCTTTGGATTTTAGTTTACAGATACAAAAGAAGAATTTTGGATAGAGGACCACTTATGTCCACGCTATGGCTGGCATTAGAATTCCAAGAACCGGTAGCCGTGAAACAATAAAACCCCTAGAGATTGTGGGGCTCTGTCCTCTGAAATGCCCTCACATTCTAGCAGGTTGTTGCAATCTTTACCTCACTTGTGAGATATATGATGCCTATTTGGGGGCAAATAAAGGCACAGGCAGTTAGATTTTTTTCCTGGGACACAAATATAATATGATAAATGGAATTCAGAGCTGTCACTAGTTTTTGTCTGGGCACCAGACTTTTACTAATAAAGTAATATAAGCTTTTTCAAATCCTTGAGGGCTGATTCCTCTTTACGGGTTGTACCTATGGTATATTTCATTTATTTGTTTCTAAGTTCTTGCATTATTATTTTTTAATTGAAGTGCAATATATGAAAATCTAGAAAATCCAGAAAAACACAAAGCAGAAATGTCACAGATATCCAATTTGCCTGAGATAATTACCATCAATAATACATTTCAAAAGAGAAAATCTAAGAACACCTAAGGTTGGCTGTGGATCTATTTTGTGACCTAACTCAGTGGGTTTTAGAAACCTAAGCCCAGTTTCCTGCTATTCTTCCCACTGACTATCTTTGGGTAGTTACACAAATAATTGCTTTTTCTTCACACATTTATTAAAGAGCCAGTGTCTAGGATATTCTGGTAAGAAGGTGTTTGGAGAGCTGCTACCTTAAAGCACAGATGTCCTGCCCTTGAGGAGCACTAAACATAGATGTGTTATTGATTATGAATAGAAAAACAACTCACTACCAAAACATATCTAGTAAATAAACACTATTCTTCCCAAATTAAAAAAAAAAAACAGCTGGACTCAGTGACTCAGCCTGTAGTCCCAGCACTTTGGGAGGCTGAGACGAGTGAATTGCCTGAGCCCATGGGTTCAAGACCAGCCCAGGCAATTTGGCGAGACCTCGTCTCTACAATTAAAAAATAAAAATTATCTGGGCGTGGTAGTGCACACCTGTACTTCCAGCTACTTGGAAGGCTACAGAGGGAAACTCCAACTAAAAAACAAAAACAAAAACAAAACTGGCATCCTTGGAAATATTACAATATTTTAAAAAAGCAAACACATATATATTTTATTTTAAGATATGGGGTACAATTCAGGATTAGGTAATAAATGGTCATTATACAGGTAAAGTTTGGGCCTCCCTTTGGTCCCCACTTTGCCTGGTTTGAGACCAGGTATGCTTATTTTCCCCATCCCTCCCCCCTACCCGAGTTCCCTGGCAGCTTGGCTACTGTCACTACTGTCAGTCCCTTTCTTCTTCTTTTTTTTTGAGTCAGAATCTTAGGCTGTCACCCAGGCTGGAGTGCAGTGGCACGTTCATGGCCACTGCAGCCTCAGGTGATCCTTCTACCTCAGTCTTCCAAGTAGCTGAAATCATAGGCAAGTGCCACCATGCCTGGCTAATTTTTTTGATTTATTGTAAAGATGAGGTCTTGCCATGTTGCTCAGGCTGGTCTCAAACCCCTGAGCTCAGGTAATCCTCTCACCTCCACCTCCCAAAGTGCTGGGATTACAGGCTTGAGCCACCACACTGGTTGTCAATCCCTTTCTTATAGTGTTATGATAAATGTTCAGGGTCCACTTATGAGTGAGAACATGTGGTACTCAGTTCTTTGTTTCTGTGATAAATCACTGAGTATTATAGACTCTTCCAAGTTGCTGTGAAGTCCATAATTTTGTTCCTGTTTATGGCTGCGTAATAGTCCATCAAATGTAGTATATATACCACATTTTTTTTAATCCAGTCTAGTTTCAATGAGCAGCACAGTTGGTTCCATGTTTTTGCTATTGTGAGTAGTGCTACAATAAACATACAGGTGCATGTATCTTTTCCGTGGAGTGATTTAAGTTTCTCCGGGTATATTCTCAGAAGATGGATTGCTGGGTTGTAGGGAAGGTCAATTTCTAACTCTTTTAGGAATCGCCACACTGTCTTCCATAGAGGTTGCATTCCCATCAACAGTGGAAGCGTTACCTTTTCTCTGCATCCTAGCCAGCATCTGTTGTTTTGTTTTATTAATGATGGCCATTCTTACTGAAGTTGGGTGGTATCTCAACTATGTTTTGATTTGCATTTCTCTGATAATTGGTGAGACTGAGGATTTTTTCATGTGTCTGTTGGCTGCTCGTATGTCTTCTTTCGACAAATGTCTATTTATGTCTTTCATTCACTTTTTTTTTTTTTTTTTGAGTTGGAGTCTCACTCTGTCACCCAGACTGGAGTGCAGTGGCCGCTCCCGGCCACCGCAGCCTCGGCCTGCTGGGCTCCGGCGATCCTTCCTCCTCAGCCTTCCGAGTAGCCAGAATTACAGGCATGTGCCACCACGCCCGGCTGATTTTTTTATTTATTGTATAGATGAGGTCTCGCTACCCAGGCGGGTCTCGAACCCGCGGGCTCAGGCAATTCACTCACCTCAGCCTCCCAAAGGCGCGGGATTACAGGCTGAGCCACCGAGCCCGGCTGGGTTGTTGTTTTTTAAAAATTGTTTTTCTTTATTTTAAAGATACAGGGTACAATTCAGGGTTAGGTATACAAATGTTCATTATGCAGCTACCCTTGTTGATGAGGTGTGCCCTCCCTCCACTGGCAGTTTTCCTTGACTCACAATCCCATTCCCCTCCTCTGGCAGTTTCCCACTATTGCCAATCCTTTTGTTATAGTATTATGATAGTTATTCAAGATCCGCTTATGAGCAACAACACATGGTACTCTGTTATTTCTGTGATAGATCATTGAGTATGATTGACTCTAAATCCATCCAAGTTGCTTCAAAGTCCATATGTTTATCCTTCTTTATGACTGCGTAATATTCCATTTTGTATATGTACCACTTTTTCATCCAGTCCAGCTTCGATGAGCAGCATAGTGGGTTCCAAGTTTTTGCTATTGTGAATAGAGCTGCAACAAACATGCATGTACAGATATCTTTTTTGAAGAATGATTTTATTTTCTCCAGGTATATTCCCAGAAAGGGGATTGCTAGGGCCAGAATGGAGTGCGGTGGCCACTCCCGACCACCGCAGCCTCGGCCTGCTGGGCTCCGGCGATCCTTCCTCCTCAGCCTTCCGAGTAGCCAGAATTACAGGCATGTGCCACCACGCCCGGCTGATTTTTTTATTTATTGTATAGATGAGGTCTCGCTACCCAGGCGGGTCTCGAACCCGCGGGCTCAGGCAATTCACTCACCTCAGCCTCCCAAAGGCGCGGGATTACAGGCTGAGCCACTGAGCCCGGTTTTCATCCACTTTTTAATGGAAAACCCCCATACTTTAACATCAGGTTTTTTCAGAGAAAAACAATTTTTCTAAATCACAGATACTTTGGAAAACAATGATGAAGGAACTATAATCCCATCACCCTAATATAACCAGTTACATTATTTATTTTTCCTCTTTCTTCCTTTTATGTACTATTGTTTCTATTTTGTCTTAGTTTTTGGTTATTTGTTTTGCCTTTTGGGTAGAGTGTGCCCTTTGAGGTTTTTTTTTTCTGTTCCACAGTGAATACTCTAAGTATAGTTGGATTCATATTTATTTCTTGACACTACTGAATCTTTTAAATTTTATTTACAAATCAATAATTTAACTTCTTAAAAAATTGAATTTTCTATTGTTAAGCAAATAAAAGAGCATGTATAATCTTCATTTTAAAAGGTTCAGACAAGCCAGGCTTGGTGGCTCAGCCTGTAATCCCGCGCCTTTGGGAGGCTGAGGTGAGTGGATTGCCTGGGCCCGCAGGTTCAAGACCCGCCTGGGCAGGCGAGACCTCATCTCTACAATAAATAAAAAAATTAGCCGGGCATGGTTGCGCACACCTGTAGTTCCAGCTACTTGGAAGGCTGAGGCGGACGGATCGCCGGAGCCCAAGCCCAGCAGGTCGAGGCTGCGGTGGCCGAAAGCGGCCACTGCACTCCAGTCTGGGCAACAGTGAGACTCCAACTCAAAAAAAAGAAAAAAAATAAGGTTCAGACATATTTTTATTTGGAAAGCATCATAGCTACTAAATTAAAATGTTTTTTTCATAATATCACCTGTACAGAACTGAAAATTAGTATCATTAATAATTTCACTCATTTTGCTCTTATCTTCTGTAAAGAATAAGCATATTCTTTTAGCTTTTGAATACTATTTGTTTACTTTTCAAACCTTGTTATGCATAAAATCTTTATTCTTTTCCAGAATGCTCATATTGCTTGTGATCAGTTCATAGGGATGGCCGTAAAGGGAACTGAAGGACTGGGGGACAATACCGAAAAAAGGCCACTTTCTGAAGCTAAAAGCTGCAAAAATTGATATACAATAATTGAAAAAAAATCCACAACATAAACTTCCTCAACATGTAGTGTATAAATATGCTTTAATGGAATTAATATGTTTCCAGTTCTCTAATAAGAGATTGGGCAAATTTTTAGGCTATCTTAATTAGGATGTAATGATATGAGAAGATTTTTCTTTAGAACAAATTCAATTGAATTATAACTCGCTCATGTAACATAAAGTGATCATTGAAAGGCATTCACTTATTTATGTATATGTTTGTTTTTGAGATATAATTCACATACCATCAAATTTCAGGTGTATAATCCAAAGGCTTTTGGTTTAGTCACAAGGTTGTACAACCATCACCACTATCTAATTCCAGGAAATTTTCATCACCCCAAAAAGGAGCCCTATACCCTTGAGTTGGGACTGACTTCCTATTTCCCCATGCCCTATACCTGGCAACCACGAATCTTCTTTTTATCTATATGGAATGTCCTATTTTGAACATTCATATAGATGGAATCATACAATATGTATCCTTTTGTATCTGGCTTCTTTCACTTAGCATAATGTTTTCTAAGATCATCCATGTTGTAGTATGTATCAGTACTTCATTCTTTTTTTCAGCTAAATAACACTTCATTCTGTGGCTATATCATATTTTGTTTATTCACTCACCAGTTAATGGACATTTGGATTGTTTCTACTTTTGGACTATTGTAAATAATGCTGCTGTGAACACTTGTGTACAAGTTTTGGTGTTGACATATGCCTTCAATTTCTTTGAGTATACACCCAGGAATAGAACTGTTGGGTCATGTGGTAACTCTATATTTAACATTTTCAGAAACTGTCAAACTGTTTTCAACAATGACTGTACAATTTTACAATTCCATCAGCAATGCATGAGGGTCTCAATTTTTCACATCCTCTTCAACAAATCTGTTATTGTATTTCATATTATAGTCATCTTAGTGGATGTAAAGTGGCATCCCATTGTGGTTCGTTGTGGTTTTGAGTTACATTTTCTTAATGACCAATGATGTTGAACATCTTTTCATGTGCTTGTTCGCTATTTGTGTATCTTCTTTGAAGAAATGTCTGTCCAGGTCCTTTGCCTATTTTTCAAACTGTGTTGTCTTTCTGTAATTGAGGTGTAAGATCCTAATATATTCTAAATACTAAATCCTTGATTTCCTGAGTGGTGAAAATTTTATTCTGAAATTTTTTCCAACTTTCTCATTGATTTTATGGAAAAAACATCTCCTGAGGTCTTTACCACACCATTCTCACTGATATCACACCTCACTTATTTATTACTTTAACATTAGTGGAGGATTGTGAGCATCTTTTATAGGTCATGTCCCAAAATTATGAAGACAAGATTCCTGCCTCCATGTATCCCACGGATTATTAGGAGAAGGAATATTTAAAACAATGTCATCACAATAATACACTATGGGATCTATGACAAGATGATGTGCAAGATAGGGTGAGTACAAATTCTTACAACTCAACAAGAAAAAGAAAAACAACTCAATTTTCTGAAAACAGGCAATGGAGTTGATAAAAGAGGGAGCTGAGATTCTACCTGGGTTGATGTTTGGATATAAAGAATCAGAAAAGTTTTTATAGAGAAAGTTACTACCTAGGGTATATATGATGGTGTGGCATCTCCTGAAAGAGATATGAAGAGTCAGAATTTGCTGGTGTGTATGTCTCCAGTACTGTACAAGGCATTCTGTCCAGCAAACAAAGGTTTTCAAATTTGCTTATCAGTTATGTTTCTTTGGCAGAGGTGGCTGCCTCATAGCTTGTAGATACCATCCTTTAAATTTTACATAGATAGACAGATATAATATATAGAGAGAGATAGATTTATCTCTGGTTCCTCTTTTTTCTGCATGTCTCCTATAGAGGTTATTAGGTAGAGACAACCTATCTCTACATCTACATATATTTCTGTATAGATAGATTCATCCAAAGCAATAAGAAAGCAATCTATATATCTAATGCAATAGATCTATATCTAAAACAGTAAGATAAATATTATGACTCCAATAAATGTACAGGCTTTTAAAGAACATAAATAGATAATTTACAAAAGAAAAGAAAAGAATATTTTAGTCAACGCTTGAAAAAAATTCAGTCTTACTATACTCCACACATATTGGGGCTTCTGTCCAGTCCACAATGGCCCCTTGCTTTGACTTACCACACTGTAATGCAGGGAGGAGAGTGCTGCACAAAAGGGGGTGGTGATGTCTGAGGAAGCCTGAGCTCAGTTTCCTCAATATCTGTTTTCTCACAACTGTGAGAGTCTGTGCTTTCTTGCATTTGGTACATCCCCAGCTTTGTATTCAGCAGAGTCATAATCTTGCAAAAGTTCTGGGGGAAAAAAGAGCAATCAACCATCTTAAGAAAACAAGATTCTAGATGTCTTCTAGTCATACTACACATAATTAAGAGTGCTGTTCCCCTGGAATACCTCAGAGATCCACATTAGAAATGACATGTAAGTCACGTGAGAAGGTCACTGGCAGGTGCATTCTCGCCAAATAGAAAGCAGCATACACATTTACAGGGTAAGGTAGCACTATGGCAGAAAATTAAACAAAACCCACTGGATTGTTCATGTAGAAAGATATCCTTGTACTGAATTCATCTCTTCAATTTGCTCATCTATGCAAAACACATTTATTGAGTGACTACTGCCACTGTTCTAGGACACAGAAGTTAATAAAATAGATAAAGAATATGCAGTCTCAGTTCACAATTGCAAAGATGTGGAACCAACCTAAACGCCCATCATCAACTGATCAGTGCATAATTAAAATGTGATATACATATATATATATATATATATGATATATACATCACCCAAAAGTATTCCACTATATAGTAGAATACTATCCAGTCATAAAAAAAATGATATCTTCTGCAGGAACTTGGATAGAATTGGAGAACATCATCTTAAGTGAAGTAATGCAGGAATGGAAAACCAAACACCTCATGTTCTCACTTACAAGTGGAAGTTAAACTAAGGATCAACATAGGCACAGAGAATGGTATAAGGGACTTTGGAGACTCAGGATGACGAGCATGGGAAATAGGGAAGAGATGAAAAATCACCTGTCGGGTACAATGTGCACAGGTGGGGGTGGTGGGTACACTTAAAGCTCAGACTTCTTTGCCACCAGACAATGTAGTCATGTAACCAAAAAACATTTGCACCCCCTAAAAGCTACTGATATAATCATAAAAAAGAATGTACAATCTATTGCTTATGTGTTTTATATAGGTTGCGGGCCAAGCAATAAACAACTAAAAGCATACATACATTAGCTATTACGGCCACAGAGAAGATAAATGCTACAGAGAAAATAAATAGGGTGATGACATGGAGAGTAGCTGAGGTTTGGTGGTGGAGACATCTACTCTAGATTGGCGAGATAAGTAGGCACCTCTGAGCAGGAGACAGGTTGATACATTCATTCATTCATTGCTTTATTCACCTGATCCCATTTACTTCAATGTCTAAAATCTTGTGGGAGGAGTTCAGAGATAAGTCATTTTTCCAGCTAGGGAAAATCAAGAGAGGTTGGGATGTCATTTGAGCTGAACCTTGAAGAATGGGTAACACGGAGACAAGAAGGAAAAGTTATGAGAAGCAGAAGTAGCACAGGGGTGTGAGAGTTTGAGAGCACATCAGAGTTGTATATGTTCTGTTGGCCCAAAGCAGAAGACTGGAGGGGAAGAAGAAGGCTATAAGACTTGAAAGAGGTCAGTATGTGGGGCACCCTCAGATTTGAGGAAAATAAAATTGCTCCTGTATTTTATCATTGTTGGAATATATGTAACTGAAATCTTACCTCCATCCTTTCATTGAGTTTCTTCTTTAATTCATGAGCTTCATTACAAGCCTCTGTCTAAAAAGACATCCACAATTCTGGGTCAAATGAAAATTATATTTTTCTGGTTTATACAATAAAACCCCACTCACTTTGACACCACTTATACAGTGGTGTCTTTGAAATGAATACTCTTAACTCTGTAAATCCTTCTTCTTAGAGCAAATTCATAACATAGTCATGAGCTGTAGGAGAGATAACTAAAAGATTAGCAAGATTGGCCAGGCTCGGTGGCTCAGCCTATAATCCCAGCACTTTGGGCAACTAAATAAGTTCTCTTCCAGGTCTAAAATTCTGAGAACATCTTTCACCGAATTAGGAATTCAATTTCCTGAAATTCTCTAAATCTGAGATTTCTTTGAAGAACTGTTTTCCTTCCATCTTAGTTGTAAAGCTATTTGACATTACCTGGTCAAATTCGTTATCCAATTCTTCTAGTGGCTTTCTAATTTCCGCGATCTTCTCACGTTAAAAAAAAAAAGAGTATAAAGCAAAGGTTGTAATGAATGATGTGTGGAAATGACACAGCAAATGATTTTTAGAAAAGAACACATTTATGGTTTTTTTTAAGTTTGATATTTAGCAGAAGCTGGGCTCCTCCCAGCTTAGGGATTGGTGCCAATCTCTAAAACCAAGGTTAAATCAAATCAACAAATGTTATTGGCCACATCCTATGTTAGTGCCCTTTGAACTAGGCACTGTGTTGCCTGGATACAAGTAGTAGCAATGTTTACCCTCAGGCAGTTTATAGGTGAATTGGGGGATGTACCATCTCCACCCATTTTTTACCAAGTTTGTTCATCATCAACCCCAGAATTGTGTGGTTTAATTATTTAGAGAGGAACTATGCTGTGATCATCACATTTTATTTGGTGTCCTAGTTTTATTTATAGAGTGAACACTTAGACAACTGGGATAGAATCAGTCTCAGAGTAAAATTCAGTTATTCACATAGAGACTACAGAAAGCGTCGTGGGATTAGAGGCTCAATAGTATGCCAAAAAACACCCCAAGCCCACCTCGAAGTCCTTTCTGCAGCTTAAAGTTCTTTTCGATACAATTTGTTCCGATTTTCTTTTTTTCTTCTCTCTCTCTTTGACAGGGTCTCTCTCTGTTGCCCAGGCTACGGTGCAGTGGTTCACTGCAGCCTTGACTATCTGGGCTCAAGCAATTCTCCTGCCTCAGCCTCCTGAGTAGCTGGGACTATACAGGTGCATGGCATCACACCCAGTTAGTTATTTTTTATTTTTTGTAGAGACAGGGTCATGCTATGTTAGCCAGGCTGGTCTCAAATTCCTGGCCTCAAGCGATCCTCCTGCTTTGGCCTCCCAAAGTGCTAGGATTACAGGTAAGAGCCACCATGCTCGTAAAAAGCAGTTTTGCTTTTTAAAAAATAATTTTAACAATTTTCCCTCCTTCCTCTTTCATGCCTTTCTTAGTCACTCCTCTTGTTTCTGAGGAATAAATGAGCTAATACATGTGATATCATTATAACTGTAGTAACTTATTTCTCCTTTACTTTTCTGACACTCTATTTGCTGTTCCTATATCTATTTCTAACAATCATCACTTTCGCCTTCACCAGAGTAAAACTACAACCATTCCTACTAACTTTGCTTCTGTAACAATTGTTAATATATGCAAAGTGTCATATTTATATATATTAGTGTTTTTGTTCATATGGAGAATTTTCCATCAGCTTGTAGGTTTATTGAGGACAAAAATTGTGTCATTTTTTGAAAACACATTTGTTGTGGTATAATTTACACGCAGTAAAACTCATCTTTTAAATATATATTCTATTTTCTATTCCTATAGTAGTGCCTTTTTCAGAGTGTTACATAATGGAAACACAAAGTAGGTATGTAGTCTTCTGAGTCTGACTTCTTTCACTTAGCATAATGCGTTTGAGATTCATTCATGTTGGGGGTCAATCTGAAATTTGTTTCTTTTTATTGCTGAGTAGTATTTCATCATATATATGTACCACAGTTTAACCACATAGCAACTGTTGGATATTTGGGTTGATTCTATCTAGTTTCTAAACTTGTGCCTGATTTTTTATTATTTTAAATGTGTATTCAAAGCTGCATGTCTCAACATAATTCCCATACATATGTGTGATACCTTCCTCTTTTGTATTATACCAAGCCCCCTCACTTAAAAAAAAATCTGACCTTAGCCGGGCTTGGTGGCTCAGCCTGTAATCCTGCGCCTTTGGGAGGCTGAGGTGAGTGGATTGCCTGAGCCCGCGGGTTCGAAACCCGCCTGGGCAGCGAGACCTCATCTCTACAATAAATCAAAAAATCAGCTGGGCGTGGTAGCACATGCCTGTAATTCCGGCTACTCGGAAGGCTGAGGCGGAAGGATCGCCAGAGCCCAGCAGGTCGAGGCTGCAGTGGCTGGGAGCAGCCACTGCACTCTAGTCTGGGTGACCAAGTGAGACTCCAACTCAAAAAAAAAAAAATTTCGCCTTTATTTATCTGTGTATTCCTCTAACTTTGTCCTCAGTCTTGATATTTATCCCTCCCTATGCCCACCTCCTGCTGAAATCCACGTTACTGCAATGCTCACAGTTGACTTATGGAGGAAATTTTCTAAAGCAGACTATTTCTTGGCCTTTGTCTTCTTACCTTTTTTTGTAGTTCGCAATTTCCAAAGCCCAAGGATAGTGAAAAAAAAAACAACTTTTCAATTCACACAAAAGGAGATTTTGATTCAAAATACTGTACTATATTATAGTTAAAAGCAATTTTTCCCCCAGAGGATAAATGCTCATGAATCTGCAAATGACTTTTAATATGTGAGTGGTCTAAATAAATAATAACTTCCTACAATAGAAAGGATATTTCTCATTGACTTCTTCCGACATCCACTTAATTTAAACTCTTGGGCTTGAGTTAAAGCAGAGACTTACAATTTCAGTAAAAAGACATAGACACAGTTTTTGTTTATTTGTTTTTCTTTTTTGAGGGACTTCTCTTCAAAGGCTGACTTACAGAAGAGCAGAAACACTATCAGCCAGGACTCTGAAATCTAACTTGTATCCAAAGTTGATCTCTACCTTTTAACTCTAATAGTTTATGACTACTAAGAAAATGGAAAATTAAATCTTTCTCTGAAAAGGGTCTCTAAGAAATGTAAGGCCGGGCTCAGTGGCTCAGCCTATTCCACGCCTTTGGGAGGCTGAGGTGAGTGGATTGCCTGAGCCCGCGGGTTCGAGACCCGCCTGGGCAGGCGAGACCTCATCTCTACAATAAATCAAAAAATTAGCTGGGCATGGTAGTGCGTGCCTGTAGTTCCAGCTACGTGGAAGGCTGAGGTGGAAGGATCGCCGGAGCCCAGCAGGTCGAGGCTGCAGAGGCCAGGAGCGGCCACTGCACTCCAGTCTGGGCGACAGAGTGAGACTCCAACTCAAAAAAAAAAAGAAATGTAAGAAGGCAAAACATCAGGAAAACTGTGGAGTCTGTGAAAATCAACACAAGAACTCTTCATGAAGGCATCAAGGACAAACAGGTGAATCTTCTGTGTTCTAAAAGTTTCCTGAATGTTTTTCTCTGTACTGTTAGATGTGAGCATGCAAGACCTTTAAGATACTCATTCTTATCTTAAGGTGGCATCACGATAGAAAGCTGTCATATTTGTCTCACATTTGTATCTAGGGTAGAATAGAAAGTCTAGGCTTTTGTGTCATCAGAGAAAAGAAATATTGCTACCTAGGAGGAAGTTGCTCAGAAGAGTCCACCAGGGAGCACTCCTCCCTGTGACAGAGAGGGGTCTTATTATGGCCTGCTAAACAACAGAAGGGGTAGGAAGAAGGGGGCAGAAGTTTCCAACTTCCCCCCTCCCCGCAATCAAGCCTCCAGCTTACCTTGATGATTACCCCCTCGTCAGGGTCAAGGTTCTGGTCCTCCAGACTTTGAATGTGACCCTCCAGGGATATCAACTCATTTAATAAGCTGCAAACAGATCAAGAGATATAGTAAGTCTTTTGTTTTAAGAAAAATCACCCAATAGAGGAGATTTTTTTTTTTCAAAAATGAAACGACATTCCTATATAAAAGGATGCTTGGGTAGTGGTTGTATTGGAATGGTAAGTCACAAATGAAATTCAAGCAAAAATCACCTTAAGTAATCTAGGTAATATTAAAGAGATGTTAGGTCTAACTAGATACAGGAGTCAGAAATTAAAAGGATTAAAATGTTAGTTTATAAAATTTCTAGGAAAAAACAGACAATCTTTGGGACCTAGGACTAGGCTACGAGTTCTTAGACTTGACACCAATTGCACAGTCTGTAAAAGGGAAAATTGATAATTGGACATAATCAAAATTAAACATTTTATTTGGCCAAAAACCCTGTTAAAGAGATGAAAAGACAAATTACACACTGGGAAAAATATTTGCATATCACATATCTGACAAAGGTCTTGTATCTAGAATATGTCAAAATATCTCAAAAGTCAACATTAAAAAAAGCTACCCCTTTAGAAAATGAGCAAAAGTCATGCATAAACCTTACAAAGAGGCTATGTGGATGGCAAATAAACACACAAAAAAGATGATCAGCACTGATTAGTCATTAGAGAAATGTAAATGAAAACTACAATGAGATATCACTATGCACTTACCAGAAGGGCAAAAATGAAATAGTGACAACAGTAAGTCCTAGTGAGGATGCAGAGAGACTGGGCCACTCATACATTGGTGGTGGTAATGTAAAATATTACAGCCAGTCTGGAAAATAGTTCGGCAGTCCCTTGGACAGTTATCCCAGTGAAGTAAAGACTTATTTCACACAGTATATGCAAATTCAAAGTATCTTTACTTATAATAGCCCCCCATTTAAAACTACACACTTGTTCTTTTGCAGATGAATGACTAAACAAACTGTGCATATTCCTGTCATGGAATTCCACTCAGGAATGAAAAGGAAGGAACTGTCAATACATGCAACAACTTGGAGGAACCTTAGAAAAATGGGTTGAGCGAAAAAAAGCTAGTCTCAAAAGGACACACTGCAAGATTCCAGTTATGAAACATTCATGAAATAACATAGTTCTAGGGATATAAAATGAATTTGTGGTTGTCAGGGGTTAGGTATGAGTGGGAGAGAATGGGTATGGCTATAAAAGGTAACACAAGCGAGTCTTATGCAATTGTTCAGTGGAGGATCTTGATTGTCGTGGTGATGCAAAGCTACACATACGATAAAATCACATAGATCTAGATACACACCAATGAATGCATGTATAACTGGTGAAGTCTGGATAAGCTCTGTTGATTGCACCAATGTCAATTTCTCAGTTGTGATAGGGACTAAAGTTGGGCAAGATGCTACCATTCGTGGAGGCTGAGGGTAGGGGTGCATGGTACTTCCGTGTGTGTGTGTGTGTGTGTGTGTGTGTGTGTGTGTGTGTGTGTGTGTTTAAACCTCCTATGAATCTATAATTATTTCTTTTTTTTTTTTGAGTTGGAGTCTCACTCTGTCATCCAGACTGGAGTGCAGTGGCCGCTCTCCGCCACTGCAGTCTCGATCTGCTGGGCTCTGGAGATCCTTCCGCCTCATCCTTCCAAGTAGCTGGAACTACAGGTGCATGCTACCACGCCCGGTTAATTTTTTATTTTATTGTAGAGATGAGGTCTCGCCAAGTTGCCCAGGCGGGTCTCGAACCCGCGGGCTCAGGCAATCCACTCACCTCAGGCTCCCAAAGTGCTGGGATTACAGGATGAGCCACCAAGTCTGGCTTATAATTATTTCAAAATTAAAATGGAAGCATAGGTAAGGAGGGTTGTAGGAGAAAATAGAGGGGAAATTAACAAAGAGGATAAAAGTAACTAGTTCCATATTTACCATCTAGCTTCTGGCCTTCAGATTTCTGGGCCAAAATATCTTATAATATTAATTCAGAAAATATTTGTTCAGCATTTACTATGTGCCAGGTATTATTCTGAGTACTGATTATTACAATAAAGAACAATGCAAGCAAGGTCTTTGCCCTTTTGGAGATTACAATGCAATGTGGCAGGCAGACAAATTCATAAAAAATTAGAATGTTCTTAGCATTTTGGATACTTGTGGCTCCCAACCAAAATACAGTAACAGCAATTGGATTTAGCCTTCCATCTCAAACAATTTTAAAAATTGAAAGAATATATGAGACAACGGTTTTCAAACGTTGAACAACAGGCAGTGCAGGACAATGATCCCTCAGAGATGGGAAACAAATGAGATGAGCTTTATAATTTAGCTTACTACCTGGAGAGAGTTTCCAGACTTCAAGTCAGAGAAGGAAGATTCAGGAGAAGCCTGGTGGTCTCTACGAGTTGAGAAAATGAAGTTAGATGTTCAGGCAGGCCACAGAGTTCAGATCTGCATGGCAGAGTGCCTGAGAGGAGAGAGCTATGTAGAGTAAGAGATCCAGAGATCTTCCCATTTGAGAAGATCCCGCTTAAATCTTCAGCTGAGGTACTGAATAGCACATGTGTGATGAACTACTTGACATGGGAAGAAAATCCCCAGATTAGAGTGGGCAGAACAATCTCTAAAGATCATACAATGCTGAGAATGATTAATGTTCCTATCGGCCAGAGTGGGAAAAGTTTGTAATATACAAGTCATCAGGTAGAATACTTAAAAAGTATTGCTTCAGTGGTGGAGGCATATTAATCCTGGACTAAAGGCTGCTTTGAACCTCCTTACAACAAAGGTCCCTTGAAAGCAAGCCTCAAAAGGATCAAACTGGGCTGGGTATGGTGGCTCATGCATGTAATCTAAGCACTTTGGGAGGCCAAGGCAGAAGGATCACTTGAGGCTAGGAGTTTGATACTAGCCTGGACAACATAGTGAGTCCTTGTCCCTACAACAAGTAAAAAAATTATACAGTCATGGTGGCATGCACCTGCAGTCCTAGTTACTTAGGAAGCTGAGACAGGAGCATTACTTGAGCCCAGGAGTTTGAGGTTACAGTGAGCTATGATCACATGACTGTACTCCTGTCTGGGTAACAGGGTGAGATTCTGTCTCTTAAAATGGTGGCGAGTGGGGCAGATATCAAGCCACTTCTAAGTAATTTAGCTGTGTTCCAGAACAAAGCTCAAGATTTAAGTATACACACACACACACACACACACACACACACACGCCTCAAGACTATTCAAAACCAAACAAGATACAATTCACAATGTCAAGCATTTGATAAAGAATTACAGGACATAGCTGGGCTCAGTGGCTAGCCTGTAATCCCGCGCCTTTGGGAGGCTGAGGTGAGTGGATTGCCTGAGCCTGTGGGTTCGAGACCCGCCTGGGCAGGCGAGACCTCATCTCTACAATAAAATCAAAAAATTAGCCAGGCGTGGTAGTGTGCGCCTGTAATCTGGCTACTCGGAAGGCTGAGGCAGAAGCATTGCCGGAGCCCAGCTGGTGGAGGCTGCGGTGGCTGGGAGCGGCCACTGCACTCCAGTCTGGGTGACAGAGTGAGACTCCAACTGAAAAAAAAAAAAAAAAAAGAATTACAGGACAAGCAAGGAAGCAGAAAACTACAATCTGTAAGAAGGTAATAAAACCAATCAGAAGAGACAGTTTTAGAAATGACAGATGATAGAATTATAGATAAGGTTATTTTTAAAGTTATTATACCTATATTTTACTGTCCAAGAAGATAGAGAAAAACATGGGTACATTTAAAAGCGATACAAAAGAGATCCAAGTTAAACTTCTACAGGTGCATACTATTATGTATGAGATGAAAAATACATTGAAAGGGATTAATAACATATTAGATATTGCAGAACAAAAAAATTCATGAACCTAAAGACATAGTGATAGAAACTATTCAAAATGAAACACAGAGAGAAGACTCAGAAAGAAAAGTCCAGAACATCAGTGAGTTACGGGCTATGGAACAATCTAAAGTGGTTTGATAAACACTTGCCAGACATGTAATTAAAGTCCTTGATAGAGAGAAGAGGGAAACAGAAAAAAATATTTAAGGAAATAATGGCTGAAAATTTCAAAATTTGATAAAAACTCTAAACATACAAAGCCATGAGGTACAACAGAACTTAAAAAAAAATTAAGACAGCTACATGAGAGCTATCATAATCAGAGTGATACAAATTAATGATAAAGAAAGAAATCTTGAAAATAACTGGGGATAGAACAAGGAACACTTTATTTATAGTAAAATAAACCTAAGAATGACAGTCAACTTTGGTCAAGCTTGATGACTTACACCTGTAATCCCAGCACTTTAGGAGGCCAAGGAGGAAGGATTGCTTGAGCCCAGGAGTTTGAGACAACATGGGTAACATAACAAGACCTTGTCTCTACAAAAATTTTTTTAAAAAATTAGCTTGGCATGGTGGCATGAGCCTGTAGTATCAGCTACTTGAGAGGCTGAGGCGGAAGAATCACCCAAACCCAGGAGGTCAAGGCTATGGTGTGTCTTGATTTTGCCACTGCACTCTAGCCTGGGTGACAGAGTGAGACTCTGACTCAAAACAACACAAAACAAAAAACAAATAAGAAAAAAAAACAGCCAATTTCTTGTCAGACATAATACAAGCCAGAATTCAGCAACATCTTTAAAGTACTATAAAAGAAGACAGTGCAAACCAAATGCCCAACCAAGTTATCTTTACAAAGTGAAGGCTTTTTCAGACATAAAAAGCTATATGAACACATCACCAGGAGAAATGCATTACAGAAAACAGTTTTTAAAAACCCTTCAACAGAAGGGACATAATGCTACATGAACAACTGTATCTACACAAAAGTATGAAAAGCACTGGTAATAGTAAATGGACATATAAATAAACACTTTTTTTTCTAATTTTAAAAATCATTTAAATCAAGAGTTGACTGTTAACCCTTTCCCCATTTGCTCCAAGAATATTCTCCAGCAGTGCTTGTGGCTACTGCATTTACTCTGAAATAATTCACGGATTACAGTCCTAATCTTGCCCTCAAAGTTTGCCATGAAGTATCTCACTTTTATTATTATTTTCACATCGCTCTAGTATATCAATAATCTTTGGAAACAAATGGCATCATTCTATTTATACCATTCTGTTTTTAGTAATGGTATTTCCACTTACAAAATATAATAACTCTCTTCTTCTTCACTTTTTTTTTTTTTTTTGGTAATTCTCATTAGGATTAGAGACAAGTTATGTTTAAAAATAACCCCAAAAATCATTTTTATATTTTATCATCACACTGGAAACCAGTAGAATTTGTTTCAGCCTCAAAGAGCATGTTTATGTAAAATTAAATTAATGCATCAGTGAGCTGCACTTTTTTTTTCTAAATGGGAAATGGGTTAAAGAAAAGAAATAATAACAATATATCATGAGCTTATAACTAATACAGAAGTAAGACATATGAAAACAACAGTGCAAAGACCAGAAGAAAAGATATGGAAGTATAAAATACATAAGCAGTAAAATATTACATGAGGTTTGCTGGTGATAAGTTTAAGAAAAAATAGGATTAAGATGGTCAACGAGAAGGAGTTAGAGTGAGTTTCTCCCATGAAGTGAACCAAAATACAGAGAGTGCCTCAGCACTCAGAGAGGAATGAGACAAGTAGCCAAATAGCCAAAGCAATCATAAGCAAAAAGAACAAAACTGGAGGCATCACATTACCTGACTTAAAATTATACTACAAGATTATAGTAACCAAAACAACATGGCGCTGTTATAAGATCAGACACTTGGACCAATGGAACAGAACAGAGACTCCAGAAATAAACCCTAATGCCTCCAACAAAGCAGATAAAAACATGCACTAGGGAAAGGATACTCTATTTAACAAATAGTGCTGGGAAAACTGGATCGCTATATGCAGAAAAATAAAACTCGATCCCTGTCTCTTATCATATACTAAAATTAACTCAAGATGGATTAAAGACTTAAATATCAGACCTGAAGTCATAAAAATCCTAGAAAAAGCTGGGTGCCGTGTCTCAGGCCTGTAATCCCAGCACTTTGGGAGGCCAGGGTGAGGGGATTGCCTGAGCCCACGGGTTCAAGAACAGCCTGGGCAACTTGGTGAGACCTCCTGTCTACAATAAATCAAAAAATTAGCCAGGCATGGTAGCATGTGCCTGTAGTTCCGGCTACGTGGAAGGCTAAGGCAGAAGGATTGCCAGAATTCATCAGGTCAATGCTGGGGTGACCGTAAATATGCCACTGCACTCCAGCCTGGGTGACAGAGTGAGACTCCAACTCAAAAAAAAAAAAAAAAAATTCTAGAAGAAAACCTAGGAAAAACACTTCTGGACATTGACCTAGGAAAAGAATTTATGGCTAAAATACCAAAAGCAAATGCAGCAAAAACTCAAATAAATAAGCTGAACTTAATTAAACTAAAAAGCTTCTGAATGGCAAAAGAAATAATCAAACGAGTAAGTAAACAACCAACAGAATGGGAGAAGATATTCACAAGCTATACAACTGACAAAAAACTAATATTCAGAATCTGCAAAGAACTCAAATCAACAAGAAAAAAACAAATAACCCCATTAAAAAGTAGGTAAATGACATAGGCAGACATCTCTCAAAACAAAATATGCCAATATTCAATAATAACCTTGGATGTAAATGGATTAAGTTCCCTACTTAAAAGATTGACTGAATGGATTTTAAAAACAACAAAACTATATACTGCCTAAAAGAAACTCATTTCACTGTAAAGATACATATAGACTAAAAGTGAGAGAATGGAAAAAATATTTCATGCAAATTGTAATTAAAAGCAAGCAGAGCCGGGCTCGGTGGCTCAGCCTGTAGTCCCGTGCCTTTGGGAGGCTGAGGTGAATGGATTGCCTGAGCCCACAAGTTCGAGATCCGCCTGGGCAGCGAGACCTCATCTCTACAATAAATCAAAAAATCAGCCGGGCATGGTAGCGCATGCCTGTAGTTCCAACTACTTGGAAGGCCGAGGTGGAAGGATCGCCGGAGCTCAGCAGGTCGAGGCCGCGGTGGCCGGGAGCAGCCACTGCACTCCAGTTTGGGCGACAGAGTGAGACTCCAACTCAAAAAAAAAAAAAAAAAAAAAAAGCAAGCAGGGGTAGCTGTACGTATATTAGCTAAAAAATACTGAGTCAAAAATTGTAAAAAAAAAGGACAAAAGAGGGCATTATAACGATAAAAGGACCAATTCAACAAGAGAATAAAATAATTTTAAACATATATGCATTCAACACTGGAGCACCCAGATATATAAAGCAAATATTATTAGATCTAAAGGGAGAGATAGATTCTAATACAATGATAGTTGGGGACTTCAACACCAGACTCTCAGCATTGGACAGGTCGTCTAGGGAAAAAAAAAAAAAAATCAACAAAGAAACATTAAATTTAAACTGCACTTTAGACTAAATGAACCTAATAGACATATAGAGATCATTTAATCCAGCAACTTCAGGGTACATATTCTTCTCATCAGCACATGGAACATTTTGCAGTATAGACCATAAGTTAGGTCACAATTCAAGTCTCAACACATTTTAAATGATTGAAATCACATCAAGTATCTTCTCAGACCACAATGGAATAAAACTATAAACCAATACCAAGAGGAACTTTGAAAACTATACAAATGCATGGAAATTAAACACTCTCCTGTGTGACCTCCATTGGATCAAAGAATAAATTAAAAAGGAAATTTAAACATTTCTTGAAACAAAGGAAAATTGAAACCAACCCTACCCAAATCAATGCTAAGAGGGAAGTTTACAACAATAAACATCAAATAAAAAAAAAAAGGAGAAAGAGTTCAAATAAACAATCCAAAGGCAGTTCATGAAACTAGAAAAACAAGAACAAACCAAATCCATAATGAATAAATAAACAAGCAACTCAGTTTTTTAAATGGGCAAAATATATAAGCAGATATTTTACCCAAGATATACATACAGCAAACAAGTACATAAAAAGATACTGAAAACCATTAGTTATCAGCTAAATGCAAATTGGAAATCATAATAGGACACCATCATACACCTATTAAAATGGTTACAGCCATTTGATACCATTTGACAGTTTCTTATAAATATAAATATATGCATACTATACTATTCAACATTGTCATTCCTGGTTGTTTACCCAAGGAAAATAAAAGTGTATGCTCACATAAAAACCTATACAAAAATGTTTATGGAAATCTTATTCATAATTGCCAAAAATCCTAAATGTTCTTCAATTGGAGAATGGATAAAATGTGGTATAATTATATAAAGGAATACTAGTCAGCAACAAAAATAAGCAAAGTACTGCTACATGCAATAGCATAGATGACTCTAATGCATGATACTAAGAGAAAGAAGACAGACTCAAAAGACATACTATATGACTCCATTTATGTGACATTCTGGAAAGGGCAAAATGATATGAATAGAGAACAGGTCAGTGGTTGACAGCAGTTTGGCCTGGGGAGAATGGTTAACTGCAGAAGGGCATGGGGGATTTTGGAAGTGATAAAGGTGTTCTGTTTCTTCACTGTGGTAGCTACACTACTGTATGCATTTTTCAAAACTTGCAGAATTGTATTCTAAGAAGCCTAATTTTACTGTATGTAAATTCTACTTTGATTTTTAAAAATCTAATGTATAGGGTTTGAATCAATAAAACCACAGAATCCTTTCTAAAAGAAATATTATTAATGCTTTGGAAGACAAAAGGACCTATTCTGAATAGGATGGTCAAAAAAAGGCCTCTGTGAAAAGATATTTGACTGAAAGGTAAGGAAATCACTAGGAGAAGAGTAGTCCTGCAGGAGGAAATAGTGTGGAATGTGGCATAAAGCTCAGAAGGCCAGAAGTATGTATTTAAAAGTATTGCTTTTGTTTATTAATTGTTTATTATGTACTAAGCCCTGTTAACTTCTTTACATATGGAATTTTATTGAATTCCCACAATACACCAATGAGGTGGTTGTTATTAGTTTGTTTTTACAGAAGAAGAAACTCAAGCCTTAAAAGGATTAATTTATCCAAGAAAAGTCAGCGTCAGGAATTCAATCTTGGTCCCTTTGACTCCAAAGCCCATTCTCTTCATACTTGTGAATAGATAAATAACAATCAATTTTATGTTGTTTGTTTCATCTTAAAACTTTTAAAAATTAAATTCAGAGACACATTAGCAATATACTGTACAATTTTTCCCCTGACCTGCTGGTTGACTTAGACAATACTGAGTAAACTCCAAAGGTCACTAGAGACCTGAAGATCTCCCTTTGATAACTACTAACACAGATTCAAAGATAGAATATATGAGATATATCCTTGAGAGAAGAGAACAAAGATACAGAAAATTTTGATTTAAGCTTTGAGATTCTGTGACATTGACCTCTAATCATAAAACTTCTTATTCTAAAGACTTTATCACCTTAAATCCAGAGTTTCTGACTTTTTAAAGTTACAGAACTTTCAACTACTTTGTAACAAACTCCAGCATCCTACAATTACCTCTTCACTGTGTTTTCTGTTACATTTATTTTTTGCATAAGATTGTTAATTTTCTCCTTCCAGTCTTTGTGATCAGCTTCAAGTTCCTTCACTTGAAGTCTAGTGTTTATATTCAAGTGGTTTAGCTTGAGGAACATGGTCTCCAGATACCTGCAGAAATGATGATGATCAATTTCAAGGCAGAAAATGGAAAACATCTCACATACCCTCTTTCTTTGAATAACAAGTTCATCTGTTTGGTCACTTCTTATCACCAAAATGGTCAGGTGGGCGCATAGGCCTCAAGAAAAGAAGTTTGGGCTTTTATTGGGATATCTGTTTTAACAGATTTTTAAGAGGCTGGATAAAACAAAGCATATTGTATGCTTAGTTAAAAATATATTTATTTTTAATTCCCTTGTATGGAAGAAATGTTAAATACTGATATTAAGATAGTGGTGACATCATGATGGAAGAAGAGAGGTATACCACAGGGAAAGGACCCACAAGAGCTTAACAAAATATACTTTTATGGTTTTTATATCTAGAAAACTATAAGAGAGTGTTGAGACATGTATTAATTCTAGGCTTCAAAGAAAAGTTTGCAAAGAGAACCCCATGCTCTGTCTAGACCCCAGGAATGTCTTCACTCTTCATTCTTGCTAGATCGTGTATGTAGTTACCTGTGCACATGAATGGCTCAAGACATGTATGGGTTTTACATCTTCCAGGTTTTCCCTATGTTCTCTGCTTACATTTCATTTTCCCTTCCACACAGTATTACTAAATGCTCTCTCTTGTATGTGTCAAGGCTTACAATTCAAAGATGCAATTCTCTGAAAACCGCAAAGATGTGGATACTTGAGGGTCCTCACGGACAATATCTGTTTCTTGCTCGTCTTGTTTACTCTGCAGGTCCTGGTCAAGTTCAGCCTCCAGTCCCAACAGATCCTAATAAAGATAATGCAGGAAGCAAAGCAGAACAAAAAGGTTATCACAAGATGTGGTGCTTCCTCTAGCCCTATTCAGTCCTCCTTCTTTGAGGGCAAGCTCATGGTTCTCTCTGAGACTGGAACCTTCCAATGCATTTGTAAGCTAAACAGACACGCCCTTCTCCGTTTACAGAGGAAGCTGAAACAGACAGAACATCAGTGCCCACATGCACAGCTCTTTTCAGTGCTGATGAATGGTGGAATTCCATCTGACCGTAGACTCTAAAACTCTACTCAAGTAAGATGACCGTCCTGGACTCTTTAAAAAAAAAAAAATCAATGCCATGGAAAAGAAAGGTGGTAGGATTATTCTATATTAAGAGAGTAGCCAGGCTCGGTGGCTCAGCCTGTAATCCTGCGACTTTGGGAGGCTGAGGTGAGTGGATTGTATGAGCCCATGGGTTCGAGACCCGCCTGGGCAGGCAAGACTCATCTCTACAATAAATCAAAAAAACTAGCCGGCATGGTAGCGCTTGCCTGTAGTTTCAGCTACTTGGAAGGCTGAGGAGGAAGAATTGCCAGAGCCCAGCAGGTCCAGTCTGGGCCTGGGTGACAGTGAGACTCCAACTCAAAAAAAAAAAGAGAGTCTAAAGGGATACAAGAGCTGAATGCTTTGCATAGATCTTGTTTGGATGTTGGTTTAAAAGACATGGCTGTAAAAGACATTGGGGGACAACTGAAGAAATTAGTGTTTTGAGGGAACTGAAGATATCATATTATTGCTAATTTTCCCAGATGTGATAACAGCATTTTGGTCATGTAGAAGAAAGTGTTTATTTTTAGAGTTGCTTTCTGAAGAAAAAAGGGAAGTGTCATGCTGTCTTTGACCTACTTTTAAATGGTTCAGAAAATTCCATCTATTTTTGTACATAAAGATAAAACCAATGTGATAAATGTTAAAGATTTTAAGATCTAGATGTAGAAATGTGTATGATTATTGTGTAATTCTAAGTTCTCTTTTTATTTTTATTATTTTATGTCAAAGATTTTTTTTGGGGGGGAAGCCTACTCTATGAGTTTGATAGTAAAATTTACTTTTTGTTTCTTTATTCTTTGCTTTGTTCTAAATAAATATTCAAGGCATTTTCTGGTACTTCAATTCTACACATGCAAAAATTGACAATGATTTATTTTTTAACACTTTTCTTCTTTCGTAACGAACTATATTGTAAATGTTTCTTCTGTCCGTTGAAGAAGTTTGATCTGAACTTTCTGTGTTTCAGCAGGAATATTTTAAGCTGGAAGGAGAAAAGTTTGGAGTAGGGAGAATAGATCAGTCTCTGAAATGTCTGTATAAACTACCAGTCAAGTCAATAGGAATAACCAACTTCCACATAATTATTTACAAGTTGCCATCATGTGCATTATTTTTTTTCCTTCTCTTGATGTACTTGAGGAGGTAAAAGGCAGATAGGCCATTTATATTTATGATTTACCCAAGGTCATAGAGTATATAGGTGTTAAATGGTGGTCCAAAAAAGATATGCCTGTGGCCTAATATAGTACTAGGACCCTGGGCTTACTATCTTATTTGGAAAAACAGTCTTTGCAAATGCAATTAAGTTAAGGTTCTGGAGAAAAGATCATCGTGGATTAGCTGAATGGGTCCTAAATCCAATGTCAAATATCCTTTTGAGAGACAGAAGACACCAACACAGAGGAGAAGACTATGTGGAAATAGAGGTGGGACTGGAGTTATGCATCCACAAGTCAACAAAGGCCTGGACACCCAGAAGATTGAAGGGGAAGGATTCTCTTAGAGGCTGAATTAAGGGTAAACAGATGAATTCTACTGGAAGACAATCTACAAGGAAGGAGTGATTTTACATGTGGTGATTTTCTCAAAGATGAAAAATGTGACAGTTATTTCATAAATTCCCAATGATATTAACAACATTTAATAGACTTTACAAATTTTATGTTTATTTATTTTGCATAGAAAGACTAGAAAGTCCCTCGTGTTGTAACAGGAACATCTAGTCAGAACAATGCCGTTCCCTGCCTGCTCCCTCCTGGGTTCAAGTTTTGAAGTTCTGCACCTATTAGAAGGAAACCCTCAGACATTTCTTTGCCGCTTTGAGATATAAGATATAAAATTCCTCTCTTCACCCATCATGACATTTAAATGTCTCCCTTACCCATTTTTTAATGTCTACCTTGTGAAAGAAGTCAGTCTGAGGGTTTTCAGATACAATGTCATCCTCATCATCTGATTTGTCCACGACGTGGTCCATGTTGGTAATTTCCATTAGCAAACTGCAAGGCACACAATCCAAACAGAGGCTGTTATTATGACTTAGGGCCAGAGCTTTAGGCCTGCCCTACACATTTCTAAAGGAAGAACACTAAAATCTTTCCCAGCCCCAAGGAGCACCTGCTGTCCTTGTACTGAGATCTTTCTGTGTGGATAATGCCTCACATAGTATACTGCACAAAACAGAAATAGAAGGGTTAGATAAATAATAGTTGGCTGAATCCAATTTAATAGTGAGATGCCAAATTCTAAAGTGATTGTAGCTGTTTGTATATGTATGTATAAATGTGTGTGCAAAACAGACAAACAAATACATAAATTAATATCCAGGTTAAAAAGTAGATTTTAAAGCATTATATGATTCAAACTCATGGGCGGAGAGGAGTAAGTCTGTAATCCCCAGCTGTCATCCCCACAATGTTTCCTACTTTCTTCTTTATTTCTTCACAGAGATTCTATGAATAAATAAGCAGATATGTTTATGTAGATGCACGTGATATATATGTGTGTGTATATACACACACATACACACAGTATATAGTTTATGAGATGATTTTATACACTCTATTCTGTACTTTGTATTCCTTTTTTTAACTTTTAAGTTTTTTATTTTAAAATTGTGGATTACAATTCAGGGTCAGGCATACAAATATTCATTATGCAGTTACCCTTGCTGATGAGGTGTGCACCCCGCTTCCCCAGGCAGATTCCCACTACTGCCAATCCCCCCCACCATAGTTTCCCTCTACTGTCAATCCTTTTCTTATAGTATTATGATAGTTGTTCAAGGTCTACCTATGAGTGAGAACATGTGATACTCAGTTCTTTGTTTCTGTGAAAGATCACTCAGTATTATAGACTCTAAGTCCATCCAGGTTGCTGTGAAGTTCATGATTTTGTTCTTCTTTATGGCTGCATAATATTCCATTGTGTATATGTACCTATATTCCTTTTTTAACAACATATCTTAGAGTCCATTTCATACTAGTACATGCAATGCTGCCTCATTTTTAAATGACTATATGATAGTCCACTGTGGGGTTGCATAATAGTATTTAATAAGCTTTTTTATTAAAGGATACATAGAATATTTCCAGTCATTTGCTACTACAATGCTGGAATGAATATTATTACACATCTATATGCTGTTGTTGTTGTGTATTATATAAATACATCTATTAGATTACCCTAAAAGTAGAATTGCTAGGCCAATAGATATACGAGGGGAGACCCCCAAAGACCTGGAATTATCGCTTGGAAGGTGGGTCCCTTGTAGAATAGGCTTCCCCTGCTAGGTAAGTATTCTAGAAACCCATCGGCGTCAGTGTACCAGCTAGCCTTGCTGAGAGAGGCTGCATTCAATTTCAGTGAATTATTTTTTGGAGATTCTTTCAATGTGTTTGCCTATTTCTTGATGGGTGATTTATGAGTGCACCTGTCCATACTGTACTGAGTGTTCAGCAGTTTTTGACCAAAAGCAGCATGCCCTCTATGCCCCCAACCTCCCTATTCACCTGATCTTGCCCTGGGCAACATTTTTTTTCCCCCTGGATGAAAAAGTCCTCAAAGGGAGATGTTTTACCTATGTGGAAAAGGTGAAACAAAAAATAGTGGAAGCACTAAAAAATCATCAAAATCGATGAGTTCAAACACTTTTGAGCAGTGGAAAAGGCATCTTAATAGGTGTATTGCATCAAACAGAGAGTTCTTTGAAGACGTCTGAAGTTTAAGCATGTACGAATAGACATAAAATTTTTTATAAATTCCAGTTTTATGAGGAGTCCCATATGTGTGTGTGTGTGTGTGTGTGTGTGTGTGTGTGTGTGTGTGTGTGTATGTGTGTGTATTCTGAATTTTTACTTTTTACCAATATATACCTTAACATGATAAGAGTGCCTGTTTTCCTGCTCCTTTCTAAAATCATGTTTTATTAAAATTTTTGATCCTTGCCAATCTGGTATGTTTACACTGGTATCTTATTATAGTCTCATTTTACGTGTGAGGTTCAACATCTTTGCCTTCATGTATAAAGCTTATTTTTATTTCCTTTTCTGTAATAATTGTGTTGCTATTATTTGTCCATTCTTTATTAGATTGTTATTTTGCTGGAGTGCATATGTGTACTCTGTCTCTTTTATACTTTTGAGCACATCACTGTACATTCGTGATGTAGGTCTATAGCAGTAGTTCCCAGTGTGTGGGGCTTGAACCCTGCGGTTGGAGGTGGGGGAGGGGGAATCATTCCATACCTACCATGCATAGGAAGAAATCCTGGAATCTGTATACATTTCTATAGACTGAATAAATACCGCTTATATGAATAAATACTGTTCAATGTTTCCAGTGCCCATGCTACTATCTTCAATGAATTATAAATGAATTTTTTAAAAGTCTCTGATATCATAATAGTTTTCTTGACATATGAGGAGTTCTTAGAAAATTTTTTTTTTTGTTTTTTGTTTTTGAGTCGGAGTCTCACTCTGTCGCCCAGACTGGCGTGCAGTGGTCACTCCCGGCCACCGCAGACTTGACCTGCTGGGCTCCAGTGATCCTTTCACCTCAGCCTTCCAAGTAGCTGGAACTACAGGCGAGCGCTACCACACCCGGCTAATTTTTGATTTATTGTAGAGATGAGGTCTCACTAAAATTTTTTTTTTGAGTTGAGGTCTTACTTTGTCACCAAAGCTGGAGTGCAGTGAAACAATAATGGCTCACTGCATTCTTGAACTCCTGGGTTCAGGTAATCCTTCTGCCTTAACCTCCTAAGTAGCTGGGATTGCAGGCGTGTGCCACCATGCCCAGGCAATTTTTTTTTTTTTGTAGAGATGAAATCTTGCTATGTTGTCCAGGCTTATCTTGAACTCCTGGGCTCAAGCAATTCCCTCAGCTCTACCTCCCAAAGTGCTGGGATTACAGGCATGAGCCACCACACACTGTTGGAAGGTCTTTTAAATTAAAAGTATTTTTTCTATTCAAGAAGATTGTTAATCATGGGCCTATATTAGTACACACATTTATCAAGTACTAATGAATTTATCCATGTACTTGTTTACACTCTCTCTGCTTCGGAAAATACTTAAAATTGTTTATGTCTTTAGCAGGTGAAGATAATGAACAACATATTTTTCCCAAATTGAGATTAGAGTCTTGACCACTTCTTTTTGACTGGTTTCTGCTTAGTTTGTGATGGTAGGTTCCTTTAACATTTCATAAGGCCTACTACAGTAAATATTCATGAGATTGAAATTAGATAAAAGGAAGAATGTCAGCCTGGATCCCGTACTTAGAAATCTCATCATTTGCATCCCACTGGCCCAGGGAAGTATGCAGTTAGGACCCCAGAAACTGCTTCTGTGAGCTCAGTCCTGACTTACTTTTGCGTCGCACCTTCAGTGGCACTGAGATTTTGGAGAAGGCTGTTGGTTTGATCAGTCAACTGTTCCTTCCACTCTGTCTTCGTCTGTGGAGACATCTCATCATTTGGTTAGGTGGGTGTGAGAGTCATTTCCTCAGCACTGCAAAGACAAATGGCAACAAGAGGGATTCTAATGGCAGGAATGGCAACTACATTCTTTCAGCTGATAGTGGGGTGATTTATTTGGGGGGCTAGGGCATGGCCTTAAACCCTCCCCTTCCAAACTGGCTGTTTATTGTAAGGGACCCCCAAAGCAAACTCTTGGGTTTCTCTGCTCAAACATATATGGGAAAGACTGGTGTGGCTGTCCCCAAGGACACAACTCAAGCGAGGCTGTTTGAGCTGTAAATTTGCATTTTGAATCCTTGAATGAATTTCTATAAAGAAATACACACGAGCGAGCCTGGAGGGATGGAAATCTTAATTTGCATAACCACTTTCTGATTATTTAATAACACGTATATTATAAAACATAAAAAGGTGAAAGAAGCAAATAAAATCACTGGTACTCCAGGGATAACCAGAGATAACCCCAGAGATATTCCAACTTAACCACTGTTAATATTTTGGCATATTATATTTCTGTTTCTAAATTTAATTTTTTTTAATCTTTTCCCATTGTTGGCAACTAGACTATTTCTAACTTAAAAAAAAAGAATATTCTTTTTTAGTAGTTTTCAGCACATTGCTAATTATTTAAGATATTTCTTTAGAAATGGAATGACTGGGTCAAGGTGCATACAGATGTTTAAGGACTTAGAAAAATACTCCCAAGTTGCTTCCCTAAAGGTTTAACCAATATACATGGCCACCAGCTGTGTGTGAGGATGGGCATTTTCAGTTCAGCCTGATAGGTCAGTGCTGGCTGCAGAGAAGTAAATTGTTAGGGTACTTAAGTAGTGATAGTAACTAAGAGGGAAGGAAACAGGAGACGGTAGAGAGGGGTGAGATGGGCTCCAGAAGCTCATATGAAAAGCTGTAGACAAAGGGTAGACACAAAACCTAACTCTTAGTTATTGGCAGAAATCAAAGAGTGTTTACCCAGAGCCAAACAGGAAGAAACATTCTCCTCTGTATGCTCCAGGGAGTGATAGCAGTAGGTTAGCCTGGAACCAGAGGGTGGCCTGGCTCCCAGCACCCTGAGAGACAGAATCCCAGAGGGACAGTGGACAATGGGAAAAGAAGTGACAGAAGAGATTTCTCTGCAAGGTTGACTTATGAAAGAGATTAGAAACAGGGAGAAAGGACTAGGGAGGAGGAAAGTGCTGAAAGAGATAGAACCCTTTGGGCAACCAAGGGCCTGGTGAATCATTTTGTGGCAAAACTGAACTTTGTCCTTGACCTGTGTAGGGATTCACTGTGAACATGATGCAGAAGGGGGACCCCTGTGAAAGAGAAGCATCAGGAAAGGGCTAGAACTTTTGATGTGCAATGGCACCATCCTTTTTAACTTTGAAAGTGACACAGAAGAATAAACCTTTGATCTGCTACAGGAAGGTCACTGTGACCTTCCTGGTCCATCACAGCTCCTGTCTGGAAAATTGTGTCTATTTCCTGAAGGTGTTAAACATTACTAAGGCAACCACAAGCTCTGACAGATGAATTGACACTGAGCTCTGCCTCGTTTAGTGCCTTTCTTGTCCCAAAAATTAGAATACTGTATAAGCAATAGGATTTCCCTATTTTAATAATTATCTGATATCTTGATGGCTTCCCCAAAAGTGATTCAAAAGAAAACCTGGTTCTTTCAATTCAGGCACCTACCCAAATTCTCCATACATTTTCCCACATTTCAAATAATGATTAGAAGCTTAAGATGGTTATGTTTGTGTAGCTCCTAACAGATTACAAAGTGCTTTTCCCATATTTTTCTCATTCAGTTCCCACAACAACCTGATAAGGAAGGTATTATCCCTATTTTTTTGTATGCGTTGACCACACAAAAAATGGGGGATGATGTGATCTACTTACAATCATATAACTGGTTAACTAGCAAAAGTCAGAACTCAGAGCTTCCATGTCCTCATAGCCCCTTGCAAGGGATTTGCCCTATCTCCCACCTCCGAAGGTGATCTAGACCAGGGCTCTCCAATAGAACTTTCTATGATGATGAAAATATTCTCTACACTGATCAACATGGTAGCCACTAGCTACATGTGTCTACTGGCACTTGAAATGGGGCTAATGCAAGGAATTCAATTTATGCCCATGATTGCCTAATACTACCACAATGGCTAACTCCTAATTTTCTAGAGCAAGGGATCATGAAACTACGACCTGCAGGCCAAGTTCAGCTTGCCACTTGCTTCTAGAAGTAACGGTCTATTGGAACCATACCCATTCCTTTAAGTATTGTCTATGACTGCTTTTGCACTGAAATGGCAGAGTTGAATGATTGCAACTATTTGGCATACAAAGGCTAAAATATTTACTATGTTGCCTTTTACAGAAGATTGCCAATATGTCTTCTAGACTATCACCTTCTTGTATGATGCTGGGTGTTTGCTACACTTCATCAGTTGACTACAGCTAATAAGAATTTACATTTTGGAGGGTCAGGCTGAGTTCATATCCTAGCATCAACACTTAACAGCTGGGCATAATCTTTCTGTTCTTGGCCTCACTTTTTTCATCTGAATGGGGCTAACACCAGTACTACTAACATTATTAGAGTTGTGAGAAATAAGTTAAATAATCCTTCTTGTGTTTAACATAAGTAAATAGCAAACACTTGTTAGTTAATATTATCTATCTGCTAATACAAAAGCAGTAGAAATAGGAGAAAATTGGTAAGGTTTCTTTAAATTTAAATAACACAGTAATAATAATAATAGCCAGGCTTGGTGGCTCAGCCTGTAATTCCGTGTCTTGGGAGGCCGAGGTGAGTGGATTGCCTGAGCCCGCGGATTCGAGACCTGCCCGGGCAATTTGGCGAGACCTCATCGCCACAATAAATCAAAAAAATCAGCCGGGCGTGGTAGCGCGCACCTGTAGTTCCAGCTACTTGGAAGGCTGAGGCGGAAGGATCGCCGGAGCCCAGCAGGTCGAGGCTGCAGTGGCCAGGAGCAGCCACTGCACTCCAGTTTGGGCGACAGAGTGAGACTCCAACTGAAAAAAATAACTAAATAACTAAATAATAATAATAATAATAATACTTACACACATCCGGCACTTTCAGTTAATAAAGTACTTTCACTAAATTGTTTCACTTGATACTCACAACTACCCTGTGGCCAGGAAACCATGTCAGATCTTATCACTTCTATTTTTTTAGATGAAGAAACTGAGATTTAGAGATGATCTATGATTTGTCCAAAATTTTGTTGCTAGAAAATTTCAGAATCAAAATTGAAACCTGAGAATTTTTTTTTAAATTGGAATCTCACTCCATCGCCCAAGCTGGAGTGCAGTGGCACACTCACAGCCACCCCAGTGACTTGCTGGGACCCAGCAATCCTTCTGGCTCAGCCTTCCAAGTAGCTGAAACTACAAGTGCGTGCTACCATGCCTGGCTAATTTTTTATTTATTGAAGAGACAAGGTCTTGCCAAGTTGCTCAGGCAGGTCTCACACTCGTGGGCTCAGACAATCCACTAGCCTTGGCCTCCCAAAGTGCTGGGATTACAGGCTGAGCCACCAAACCTGGCCCCAATATATTTTAATGGGTTAACAGCCTTCTCACTTCAAAAACAATCCTTTGTTTTTTCTTTTTTTCTCACTCTATCATCCAGGCTAGAATGCATGATTCACTATATCCTTGATCCCCTGGACTCAGGTGATTTCTCTGACTCTGCCTTCTCAGTAGCTGAGACTATAGGTGCGCACTACCATGCCCGCTAATTTTTTATTTTTGTAGAGATGAGGTCTCACTATTTTGCCTAGGCTGGTCTTGAAATCCTGGGCTTAAGCAATCCTCCCACCTTGGCCTCTCGAGGTGCTGGAATTACAGGCATGAACCACTATGCCTGACCAAAAAAACGAAATCATCTTTTGAACCTGACCTTTGACCAGTTAGTTACATAGTGTAGGTGTCTATTACTCCAAGTGTGGTCTGCAGACCAGCAGTGTCAGCATACCTTGGGAGCTTGCTAAACAAGCAGAATCTCAGGCCCACCTCAGGCTCAGTGCATCAGCACCTTCATTTTAACAAGATTTCAGGTAATTCACACACATATGAAAGTTTGGAGGTACTCATATTCTAGACCTTTAAAAATAGAATTCTTCTTCTCCCTACACCCCATTTCTTCATCCCTCCATGTTTACATCATGGGCTTCTAGGATTATTTGGTACAAATGGACTGAATCCCTCCTCTTTCCCTTATACCTCATAAAAACCTTTAAAATTACAAATCTGGAGAAGTGCAAGTTTGAGTAAAAAATAATGAATCAACTATTTTAAAAGACAGCTGATTGGGCTGGCATGATGTCTCATACTTGTAATCCCTGCACTTTGGGAGGCCAAGGTGGAAGGCTGGTCTCAAACTCCTGGCCTGGGCAATGTAGCAAGACACCGTCACTACAAAAAAAAAATTTTTTTTTAATTAGCTGGGCGTGGTGGCACATAGCTATGGTCCCAGCTAATTGGAAGGCTGAGGTGGGAGGATCACTTGAGTCCAAGATGTTGAGGCTGCAGTGAATTGTAATCATACTACTGCACTCCAGCCTAGATAACAGTGAGACCCAGTCTCATTAAAGAAACAAGAAAAACAGTTGATGAAATTGCTAACTTACATTTTGGGTGAATTTTCTCCAGACCTGACCACCCAGATTACCCTCTTCAATCCCTGCTAGGTTGACAATTTGGGGTCTCAGAAATTTGCCCATGGCACTTATAAACCAGGGATTTGATGTCACCATAGGCTCCTGGTCATGTCATAATGAGATGGTACAACTGTAAAACGGGATATACCTGGTGATATCCTTGCTCTTCCCAGTTTGATAATCACAGATACCTCTGAATTCAATGGAGTAGACTGACAACAGTCAAATTTCCCTGGAAAGTAACTCCTTTCCCCAGCACCAAAGACAGAGAAGCAGCCATTCAAGAGCGTTACACACCTAGGCAGCTAAGTTGGACTTTCCCTCTCTGAC